ATAAGATGGTGCTAGAGACAAACGAAATGGCTGGAATAACATGATAGGTATAAAAGTTTCATGACGAGGGTCTGACCAAAGTAACAAGTAATCCAAAACTGTACAAACTAATCAAGGTGGAGAGATCATAACAAGTAATCAAGGAGATGGTGTCAAAACAGAACAGTAAGGAAGATTTTACAAACAGAAGTGTGGTGGGGTTACATGTAGCATGACATTAGCCCAAGATCACAGGGGAGGCTGTCTTCAGAGACAGTGCTACGACAACGGATGAATTGACACCATGCAGTAATCACCCATAGTCAGGGAACACTTCAGCAGTCAAGGACATTCAGCCTCCAATCTTCGGGTAAGCGTCCTCCAAGGCAGCCTTCAAGACACACAACAATGCGGAATCGTCGAGCAGAAACTGACAGCCAAGTTCCATACTCATGAAAAGAGCCTCAACTGTGATCTTGGGTTCATATTGCACAACAAGTAACCCCACCATACTGTTACGTATTTGTAAAATTTTCCTTACTGTTCTGTTTTGACACCATCACCTAGACAACTTGTTATGATCTCTTCATCTTGATTAGTTTGTACAGTTTTGGATTACCCGTTACTTTTGCCAGACCCTCATCATCCAACTCTTATACCTATCATGTTATTCCAACCAGTTGGTTTGTCTCTAGCACCATCTTATTTTTGATTTTTTTCAATTATCTCTCTGCTTCAATTAATCAGATCATAGGTCATCCCTTCACATGCTATTCAGCTGTTGACACTTCACTCACACCGTTTGACACTTTTCATCACCTGAAAAGATTTGTTATTCAGCCCGTCAACGCTCCACTCACATCGTTTGTACTATCTTTTGACACTCTGGAATTATCTTGCAATGATCTCTCCACCTATAAATTCTGTGCCTGTGCATTTCCCTCCACTTCACCTGATGAAGGAGCAGCACTCCAAAAGGTTGTGATTTCAAGTAAACCTGTTGGACTCTAACCTGGTGTCATGTGACTTCTGACTTTGTTCACCCCTGCCCAACAGGGTAGGGCGGCATGGTGGCTTAGTGGTTAGCACTGCTGCCTCACAGCGCCAGGGACCCGGGTTCAATTCAACCCTCGGGCAACTGTCTGTGTGGAGTTTGTACATTCTCCCCACGTCTGCGCGGGTTTCCTCTGGGTGCTCCGGTTGCCTCCCTAGTCCAAAGATGTGCAGGCTGGGTGAATTGGCCATGTTAAATTTCCCATAGTATTTAGGGATGAGTAGATTACATGGGTTATAGGGGGATGGTTATGGGTGGGATGTTCCAAGGGTCGGTGTATACTTGTTGGGCTGAAGGGCCTGTTTCCACACTGTAGGGATTCAATGATTCTATGAACACCAGCATCTTCACATCTTTTATGTTCATCTGAGAGGGCAGCTGGGATCTTGGTTTAAAAGGTCTCATGCAAAATGCAGCATGTGTGACAGTGTAACACTTGCTTTGTACTAACACTTCAAAGCAGCAACCTTCTTTTTTTAAGTGTCTGGGGACAGAGGTTGTACTTAAACTTTGATACTCAATGCGCTGAATGCGCCACTGAGCCGCTCCACATATTCAAAAAGTTGCGCACCGATAACATCGAGTGCCTTGATTCCTAAAATGCTGTTTCAATGTAAGTTGAACACTGCGCATATCCAACAGAATTTGATTGCTTCAGTGCTACAGCGGTCCATATTCGGTTCAAGACTCACATGCAAGAGAACAGGTGAGAGAGCAGATAGTGCCATCTGCTGGCTGGCTGTCATTTTCCTCAGTGAAGTGCTTGTGAACTCTCAAATGCATCTTACATCTATTGAACATTGCTGCTTCAAACCTCAAGCTAATGCCTAGAATCCTGCCCTCTCATGGAGAGGCCCCACATACACCTAGAAACAAGAAGAAGCCATTCAACTCCTTATAGCCTGTTATTCAATTCGATCATGGTTGATTTAACACACACTTCCTGCCATGTAGTACTTAGAACTGAATGTAATAGTCTAGATGAGTTCTAACCACAAAGTCATACAAAACATGGATTAGCACCACCCTTTGTATTCCAAGCCCTCATAGCCCTTTAAGATGAGGGCTAGATCCCACTAATTTTTTTTTGTACTTTTGCAATAGCTTTTAAGAATGTAAGAACATTGGAACTAAGAATAGGAAAGGTCATTCTGTCCTCGTAGCTTGTTCAGTTATTCAATAAGATTGACTGACTATTCCCATAACCCTTGATTCCCTTTGAATCCAAAAATTGGTCAAAGCCCTGTGGAAAAAGATTCAAAAGATTGTGATCAAAAAAATTTCTGATCTAGATTATCTATGGTTAACACATTCTGATTTTATGGTCCCTGTTTCGAGGCTTCTCAACCAGACGGAAGCTTCTACCTGTCAAGCCTCCTAAAAAAAGTTCGAAGGAAAAATAGGCCTCGTCTTTTTTTTTCTTTATTTGTTCATGGAATGAGGGCATTGCTGGATAGGCAGCATTTATTGCCAATCCCTAATTGCCCAGAGGGCAGTTGAGAGTCAACCACATTGCTATGGGTCTGGAGTCACATGTATGCCAGACCAGGTAAGGATGGCAGTTACCTTCCCTAGAGGACATTAGTGAACCAGATGGGTTTTTCCCGACAATCAACAATGCATTCGTGGTCATCTTTAGATCCTTAATTCCAAATATTTTATTGAATTCAAATTCCATCATCTGCTGTGGTAGGGTTTGAATCTGGGTCCCCAGAATGTTATCTGGGTCTCTGGATTAACAGTCCAGTGATAATATCATTAGGCCATTGCCTCCCCCACTTGTCTTTCAGCAAATTTTTGCATTGCTTCGTGTAGATGATAGATACTGCTGCTATTAATGAAGAAGCTGAAGATAGTTGGGTCCAGAAAACTACCCCGAAGAACTCGTGCATCCGAGACAACAGTTTTTTTTTTCTTGTTAACTTGTAGGATGTGGGCATCTCTGCCTTGACCAGCATTTAATGCCTGTCCCTATTTACTTCGAGAAGGTGGTGATGAGCTGCCATCTTGAACCATTGCAGTTCATGTGCTGTAGGTTGATCCACAATGCCCATATGGAGGGATTCCCAGGATATTAACACAATGACAGTGTAGGAATGGCAATATATTTCCAAGTCAGAATGGTGAGTGGCTTGGAGAGGAACTTGCAGGTGGTCGTGTTCCCATGTATCTGCTGTCCTGATCTTCTAGATAGTAGTGGTCATAGGTGGAAGATACTGTACAAGGATCTTTGAATGAAAATATGCACTAATCATAATCACTTTGCCTTTAAGAGAGAAATTTAAAACTCAAAATGCTGGACATGTTTCCATAGAGTTTACTGGTTCAACTTTAAAAGACTTATGTATATTGCTGAAACAGAGAATACTGCAGATGTATTATCAAGATATAATAATGTTAGAATAGTTTGAAGGTTCTGAAAGTGGAAGGAAATTGTGTAAATCTTACGCAACTAATGAATGAGGATGAATAAACAAGTTTTTTGTTTTTTTATAGCATATATGTTTTACCACAATGAGGCAGATTTGAAAATGGTATTTCTTTTCTCAAGGGTGGAGGCATGTTAGGAGTACATAGTTCTTAAAAATAACACGGTGAAGCAAGCTGAAAGGGATGAGAGGATTTGCTCAACTTCTGGGTGGCTAATGGTTTACCATGTGATTCTTTGGAACTGAAGAGTCAAATACTGCATTGTTGTAGTTCATCTTCGGTTTACAAACAGACAACTGATCTTGTAGAAGTAATGTAAAGGTTTAAGATAGAGAAAAGATGGATTTTATGGCTTTCATTGATTAACAGACTTGGCTTCAAGAGATGAGGCCCTGTACTTAAGCTAGAAACAGCCTCTGTTTCAGTTCGCAATTGAGTGTGTTAGTAAAGAAACAAAAAACCTCCAAGAAGCTGGCAGCAAAAAGAAAGACCAAAAGGACTGTGGATGCTGTAAATCAGAAACAACATTGCTGGAAAAGCTCAGCAGGTCTGGCAGCATCTGTGGACAGTAATCACTGTAAACGTTTCAAGTCGAGTCATCCTTGCTCAGAAACCTTGCAGCAGGACAGCCATACAGCTATCTCTAGCAATAAAGTATCTTTTGGAAACCTGAGAAAGTTCCAGAAATCATATCTTCAACTTTCTCTGAAACTCTGAAAGCTGAACTATTACTTCCATAAAAACTCTAAAAACTTTCCACCTGACCTGAAGTCTGATTTGAAGATTCCATCAATTCTACAACTGTCAGCATCGCTGACAGCAGGAAATTGACTGAATCTTGAAAGTCTTCCCACTTATCATCCTTTTGAGTTTGCATCCTTGACCTACCAGGGTTTTTTCCTGTTTGCCTTTTTTTAAAATACCCATATCATCTAAGCAGAATTTTATTGTCTGTCATGTAATTGTGTGTTTTTTGAATTAAGAGGACATGGTTTAATTCTACAGAGTAGCTTCATTGTTAACTGGTTTTGCCATTTTTTGCATGAATACATTTGTGTATAGTTTTAGTTTCTGTATCGAAGGAAATATATTTGCATTAGAAGGAGTGTAATTAAGGTCAATGGATGAATTCCTGGAATAAGAAAATTGCCTAAACATCTGTGGCGAAAATATCAGAGTTAACGTTTCAGATCTGGTGCCCCTTCCTCAGAATTGTTCTGAGGAAGCGTCACCGGACCTGAAACGTTAACTCTGATCTTTTTTCTCCACAGATGCTGCCAGACATGTTTAGGTTACATATGAACATGACATCACACTTAGTCACATGTACATCCATCTACTGTAGTTTTGCAAACTGACAATCTATCAAGGTCCCTTTGCATCACTATAAACACACACTGCCTTACACACTTTGATACCTTGGGATCATATATTACACCTCTATATGATGACACAGGATGGGATTGGAGCACAGACAGCAGACATTCAAAATGACCCAACAATGAGCCTAGAGTGCTGCAATGGTAGCACTCCATACCTGTGTGTGGATTTCCTCATTGATGGAACGTTTGGAATCTTGCTTCTTCTTCACGGCGAGCAATTCCACCAATGGTCGAATAGTCATCCCCTATCAAAGAGACAGATTTAATCGGCACTGTGCACAAATAACTTCCATCTGCAGTCAACCAAAGCTCCGCTTAAACCAACAGTTTACAATCATTCATTCTGGTTGATTTTCTGTTGGCATTTTAAACTCACTACTGGTGCTTTCAATTGCAACTACTACCATTTAATGAAGATCTTTAACGCTGAAAATATCCCAAAATATTTTACAGGAACAGTTTAATTTAAATACCAACCCAAACATCAGTGCAAGAGGAAGATTTTTTTAAAAAAAGAGATGTAGGAAGTAAGAGAGATTTTAGGAGGTAATTCCACAGGATCAGATGTACGCAGCTGAAGGTACAACTGACAATGGTCTAACTGTTAAAATTGGGGATGTGCAACAGGTCAAATTCAACTCACAAGGCTTCAAAATTGGATGACAAGCTGATCTCCAATTTACAGATTACAGGACACAAAGACTGTTTTGTATACTCATCAAAATTATAAAAAAGGAAACTTTTCCACAACTGTACAAGAATGAATCATCACAGATATACATACTTGCTGGCCCATCACCAGACCCTTCCACTGGCCCATCATTGAGCCCTTCAATTGCTCCATCGCCAGCCTCCTCCATAACACACACACAGCCCAGGGTAAACTTCGGCTCCTCCAAAATACTGCAGTTTTATAACCTCCCACAAATCCCCTTCATCCATCACTCATGCTTGCAGATTTGTTCTGGCAACATTTCAATTTTAAAATTCTCATCCAGATTCAAATTCCTCCGTGTTGGCTACACCTCACCTCTTTAAACTTCTGTCATTTATATAAATGATTTAGATGAAAATACAAAAGGTATGGTTAGTAAGATTGTGGATGACATCAAAATTGGTGGTGTTGTGGACAGTGAAGAAGGTTATCTAAGGTTACAAAGAGATCTTGATCAACTGGATCAATGGGCTGAGGAGTGGCAGATAGAGTTTAAATTTGGATAAATGCGAGGTATTGCATTTTGGTGAAACAAACAAGGGCACGACTTAGATAATTAAAATTAGAGCCTTGTGTAGTGTTGTAGAACACAGATACCTAGGGGTTCAGGTACATAATTCTTTGAAGTTTGTATCACAAGTAGATAGGGTGGTTAAGAAGGCATTTAGCATGTTTGCCGTTATTGCTCAGACTTTCAGTACAGGAGTTGGGATGTCACGTTGAAGTTATACAAGACATTGGTGAGGCCTCAGGGTGGCATGGTGGCTCAGTGGTTAGCACTGCTGCCTCACATCACCAGGGACTAGGGTTTGGTTCAACCTTCGGGCGCCTGTCTGTGTGGAGTTTGCACATTCTCCCTGTGTCTGCATGGGTTTCCTCTGGGTGCTCCAGTTTCTTCCCACAGTCCAAGATGTGCAGGCTAGGTGGATTGGCCATGCTAAATTGCTCGTAGTGTTCAGGAATGTGCAGGTTAGGTGTGTTATAGAGGGACAGATCTGGGTGGGATGCTCTGAGGGTCGGTGTGGACTTGTTGGGCTGAAAGGTCTGTTTCCACACTGTAGGGATTCTACGATTCTCTTCCAGAGTACTGTGTCCAGTTCTGTTGCCCTGCTTTAAGAGGATATTATTAAGCTGGGGAGGATTCAGAAAAGATTTACCAGAATGTTGCCAGCAATAGAGGGTTTGAGTTATAAGGAGAGGCTGGATAGATTGGGACTTTTTTCACTGGAGCGTAGCAGATTGAGGGGTGAGGTTTATAAAATCATGAGGTGTATAGATATGGTGAATGACAGGTGTCTTTTCCCGAGGTGGGGAATTTCCAGACTAGGGGACATATTTTTTAAGGTGAGAGGAGAAAGATTTTAAAAAGACATGGGGGCAATCTTTTTTACAGAGAGTGGTTCATGTGTCAAATGAACTTCCAGAGGAATTGGTGGATGCAGGTACAGTTACAAAGTTTAAGAGACATTTGGATTAGTACATGAATAGGAAAGGTTTGGAGAAACATGGGCCAAGTGCAGGCAGGTGGGACTAGTTTAGTTTGGGATTATGGTTGGCATGAACTGGTTGGACTGAAGGGTCTGTTTCTGTGCTGTATGACTCTATGACTGTGACCCTACTGACTTCTCCTGCACTCTCATTCCGCCTCCTTGCACGCTCCTGATTTGCATTTCTCCACCAATGCCCTCATTTGCCTCAGTCCCAAGCTTTGAAAAGTCTTCCTTAAAGTTCTCCAACTTTTTGTGCCTATTTGTTTACAGTGTGCCCAAACAATTCAACCAAGCTTCTGGCCATCTGTACTTGTGGCTAACTGCTCTCGCAATGTGCCTCAAGATGTTTTATTATGCAAATTGTTGTTGATCAGCTGAAATCTCCAAAACAGAGAAAGAGCAACAGATATTGAAATGCTCTTGGCCCACCAAGCCACAGCACGCATACACAGAAACATGCATGACCCAGTGTGCGCCAATGTGCAAGACCCAGCCTTCAAACACAAAAATGTCTAAGCCTCAGCACGTTCACATAAATGTGCACACTCCAATATGCACACAGAAATAGCTACATGCTCCACCACATACCACATACACATTTCAGCATAAAGGGAGAGAAAAGTCCTAGTGTATGCATGTAAACGTATAAGCTACACATAAATTCAAAAGTAAACAAACCTGAACAAAGACAGTGAAGAATATAACTGTGATAATGGCAGTGAGGAACAAAGTTCGAGGGAAAGAGTCATGTAACAGATATCCAAGTGAAAAGGCGATGGCTCCTCGCAGTCCCCCATAAGAAATTATAAACTGGTCCTTAGGGGTGAGTTTCACAATGCGAAATCTGTTAAGTATTAAAGTGAGACCCAGGACACCTGAAAGAAAACAGCAGAGTTAGAGGCACAGAATCACAGTTCAAGATCTTGACCATTGTCTGCCCTCTTTGGGATTGCTCTTGAAAATAAATTTGCCAGTTGTGAACTGTGGTTCAGTTGTAGCACTTTTATTTCAAACTACACTTTGTGGATTTGAACGTCAGAGACATATTTGCATAATCTGGAGAGGAGACATGCACACTGGGGGGAACAGGAAGAAAAGAGAGAGACAGAGAGAGGGAGTCTGCAGCAGATGATACTGTGGCTCCAAGCATCTTTGCGAAAGACAACAAAAATATTTTATTGTTGAATTACTTCTTCACTGATATAGTGATTACAAAGGCCAACAGTAACAAGACTGGGGTCATTATCAACAGTTGTTGCAAGGCCGAGGTATAACAGTATCTGCCAGTCCATGGAACAATGTCCTACCTGAAATCCATAAACCTGACTGGCCCGGTTGACCCATTGTCTCTGCCTGCTCCTTCCCCACTGAACTCATCTCCTCCTACCTTGACTCTGTTCTTTCCCCTCTGCTCCAGGAACTCTCCACCTACGTTTGCGACACAACCCACACCCTCCACCATTTCTAAGACTTTCAATTCCCCGGACCCCAACACGTCATCTTCACCACGGACATTCAGTTTCTACACACCTGTATCCCTCATGAGGTGGGCCTAAAAACCCTCAGTTTCTTCCTCTCTCACAGGCCCAACTAGTCCCCCTCATTTGCTCGGCAGAACTAGTCCTCACCCTCAACTATTTTTTTTTGACAACTCCCACTTCCTAGAAGCCAAAGGGGATGCCTTATGGGCACCTGCATAGGTCCGAGCTACGTTTGCCTCTTCGTAGGATATATGGAACAGTCCCTCTTCTGCTGTTACTATGGCACCATCCCTCATCTCTTCCTCTGCTCCATCGATGACTGTATTGGTGCTGCTTCGTGCTCCCACAATGAGCTTGAACAGTTCATCCACTTCACCAACACCTTTCACCCCGACCAGCTTTGACACCTCCCTCCACTTCCTAGACCTCTCCGTCTCCATCTCTGACAATCGACTTAGCGCCGGCTTCCATTTCAAACCCACTCACTCCCACAGCTACCTCACCACGCCTCCTTTTATCCACCCTCTTGTAAAAATGCTGTCCCATACTCCAAATTCCTCTGCCTCCATCACATCTGCTCCTGGGATGAAGTGTTCCACTTCCAGACATTCCAGATGTCCTCCTACTTCAGGCACTATAATTTCCCCTCTCCTGTGATTCATAATGCCCTCAACCACATCTCCTGCATTTCCTGCCCTTCTACCCTCAAAACCCCTTCCCCGCAACAACAAAAAGGATAGAATCCCCCTGGTCCTCACCCTCCAATCTCCAAATCCAACACATCATCCTCCACCATTTTCACCACCTACAATCAGACCCCACCACCAAAAAGACACGTCCTTGCTCACCCCTATCTGCTATCACTCCGCGACTCCCTCAATAGCTCCACACTCCCCACCAACCTTTCCACCACACCTGGCACCTTTCTCTGCAACCACAGTAAGTGCTACACCTGCCACTTCACCTTTCCTCTCTGTCCATGGCCCCAAACAATCATTCCAAATCCAGCAGGGATTCACCTGTACGTCTTCTAACCTGGTCTATTGCATCAATTGCTTCAGATGTCGTCTCCTTTATATTGGAGTGACCAAGCACAGGCTCGGTGACCAATTCGCGGAGCATCTGCATGCACCCATCAACACTACCTTTAACTCCCCCTCCCACTCACTTGGCGACATGTCAATCCTGGGCCTCCTCCACTGTCAAAATGAGGCCACACGTGAACTGGAGGAACCTCATATTCCGCCCTGGAAGCTTACAGCCTAATGACCACAACATAGAGTTCACCAGCTTCAAAATCTCCCCATCCCCAACCTCATCTCATGTCCAGCACTGGCTCTCATCCCCGCCTCCTTGATGTGACACAACCTGCTCTTCTTCCTTTTCACCTATCCGCTCCAACATTCCCACTGACCAATTTCTACAACCCCCTGCCTGCATCTACCTATCACCATCCAACCTACCTTACCCCAGCCCCACTTCCCTCCCTCTATTTATTTCTGAGCTCCCTTTCCCCACCTCCCCCCCGCCCAAAGGCCTGATGAAGGATCCAGATCCGAAATGTTGACTTTCCTGCTCCTCAGATGCTGTCTGACCTGCTGTGCTCCTCCAGCTCCACATTTTATCAATGTCACAACAATCTCACTTCCTGTACTCAATTTCTCAGATCAGATACAATTGTCATGTTTTATTATCTTGCAACTCAATGATCATTCCTTTGATTGATTGCTTCATTTTATCAGTTCAGTTTCTATTTGCTCAGAGCATTAAGGTTCAAATATGGAAACAGCAATTCTCCCTCTACTATCTCATCAAAACCCACATCCCCACTTCAGATTTAGCACCTCAGGTAAACTCTATGGCAACCAATAAAAAACTAACGCTAACAGCTCATGCTTCAGATTTAAATGTGAATTCTTCTATTCCTGACAGTCAGTTAGTAAGATCAATGTGTGTTTGCTTGGTTGTTTGCTTTCCCTAATAACCCAGAGGCCTCAATAAGAAGCACCAGGGTGTCAGGGAGAGAAAGCAGTGGAGTGGATCAGAGGTGAAGCTGCACCAACTGTACCACTAGATAGCTATGCATTGTCAGTCAAGTGTGCAGTACCTTTTAGGTCTTACCTAGGACTCGACCAATCAAGCAGAACATCAGCGTGCAGCTTATGAAGATCCAATTCCACTGGTGCTCACCAGCAAGTGTGGAAACACCCAAGAAGATAAAGATGAGTGTCTCACTCACACTGCTCCACATCTTTAGGAAATACTTAATAGTGGTGTGAGACTTATGAGAGATGTTTGCCTCCACATAAGGACGCATGATCACTCCACAGGCAATGAGCCTGAAAAACATAAACCAACATACAACTTAATTACTGAAACTCTGATTGTGTACTTGCTGCCCTCCTTGAACAGTCTTTCTAAACCATGCGTCATGAAACAGCAAGAAATATATAATGCCATGAGAAAACAAAAAGTCCATCCCATGCACCTAAAGGAACAGTGTCTTTCTAATCCTCCAGAACCAACCAACAACCTCAGAACTAGCAGTCTCTCAACCTGCTAAAAACAGTTTGCCCACCTGCATTCAAACACACACATCCATCTGTCCATCAGATCCATCTGCCCTTCCTCTCTCAACAGTGTTCCCCTTCAAAATTTAACATCCACATCCCTGGAACAGTGTGCCCATGCCAATTTCATTTGGAACAGTCTGTGCTACCGCCAGCACACAGCAGTCCTCCTTTCAGACGATTAGCCCATTTGCCATCCCCAACTCCCTTGTAGGGAGCAGTGTACAGTTTCCCCCATCAAACCTAACTCAAAACATTAGCCTGTTCCCATCCACCCAAATACACCCTCTCACTATTCCAGAGCCACAGTAATGTGGTTGACTTTTAACATCTGAAATGTCCCAGTAAGCCACAAAATTGTATCACATTGCTACAAAAGAAAACACTGTTGATGCAGAGGTGGCTCAGCACAATCTTCTCAAGGACAGTTAAGAAAAGCCTTACCAGCAACACTCTCATCTCAAGAATAAATGAAAAACAACGGCCTGCCCTGCCTTCAACAGGAATTGTCTGCTTACTGATCCCTGCTCTGCTGCAACTGTCCTACTACCAGCAATAAGTGCACATTCCCATCAAAAATCACTAAGTACTTTAGACAAAGGAACCAAACACACAAACAAATGCAGAAAATTCAAACAGCTTGTTTCTCACATAGTAAAGCAACATTGACTACTAAACAACTTTGAGGACACTTACGCCATGATTCCTGAGAGATGGAAGATCTCCGAACATAAGTAAGCCATGTAGCTGTAGAGGAAAACGAAAAGAGGTTCGATAACACGAATACGTGATGTAAAGCGAGAGGTGAAGGCAGCGATGAGTCCATAGAAAATCCCAACAAAGACGCCTCCAAGAGCCACCACGAAGAAGGACAGGATTCCCAGGATAATGTCCTTAGCACCAATTTCTGCATCATTGGCAAATTCCTCAAGGAGGTGATACAGCACCTGCAAAATTAACAAGTGGACGTGCAGTCACAAGAAACAAACATCTACCTATATGCAGGAACTGCTTTAGCTGCTTCTACAATGTTTGGACCAGGTGGTGACAGAACTACATTCAGGATTGGGGGCTCAGGGTTATAGGACAAATGGTGCTGGGAAAGCAGGGTACACTTGGGGTGGCGTGATGGCAGAGGGGTGCCTTGGACACCATGAGGAGTGTTGGGTTGGGCACAGGATAAGAGAAAATCTGCAGTAAGAAAAGGGTGTGAAGCAAATTATTGAAATTAAATGGCAGACAAAAGTTATTACACTCACCACAGTAACTGCATCATTGAGTAGAGACTCTCCGAACACCAGGATGTGCAACAATTCATTGATGTGAATCTCTTCAAATACAGCTAGCACAGCCACAGGGTCCACAGCAGAGATGATGCTGCCAAACAGCAGATTAGGCAGTAGGGTGATGTGTTGCAGTCCAGAGCCCTGGATCTGGCACACCGCGTACAGCAGTAACCCAACAAAGGCAGCATTCCAGAGAGTCCCAAGCACAGCAAAGCTTAGGATGGTTCCCAGGTTCTCGCTGAAAGGCCGAATTGGTAAGAAGTAGCCAGCATCCAGAATGATGGGTGGAAGGAGATAAAAAAAGAATACATCCGCTTTCAAAATGGGTGGATTTTCTCCCACAGCCTTTAGGAGACCACCCACTATCAGACCCACACACACCAACAGGCAGCTCTCTGGGACAATTGTAGATAGCTTTGGGAGGAAGTGAAAACCTAAAAATATAAAACAATCATCAGGGAACTGCTAAGATATTCCAGATAATAACACATTGACAACACCAGATGGGGCACAACAAATACAGGATGCAATAGAAAAAGAGACAGCGTGCAATAGACTGGGAACAGAAATTCATCAAAATGTTAAACCTACCTTTAACTCAGCAAGCTGCATTTATATAGTGTAATATACAACTCCATGGAGATGTAAAGACAAGCAGAGTGGGACTGGAAGGAACAGAAAGTTTAATGGCATTAGCGAGTAAGGTCCACAGAAAGAGTAGTGGAAAAAATGGATTGTTATCTGAATGTGAAAAGTACTTGTGATAAGATAGATGTGCTAGTGGTATTGATAATGATGAATTCAGATCTAATGACTATTACAGAAACATTGCCAATTGTAACAATGTCATAAACTAAATGTTCAATCGAAATGTGATAACATTTCAAAAGACAAGGCAAATGGTAGAAGAGACACAGACGCCCCGATAGTAAAGGATGACAAAAGAACTGTAGAAAAAAAGGATCAGACAGTAGAAATGGTAGAATTCACTCAAATACTCTGAAAAGTGTCGTTCTACAGAGTTATGGTTTTCATGACAATTGAACTATACTTTTGAATATGTGCCAAAGTAGCTCAAATATATCCTAGAAAGGTTGGCTAATGTGGTGCCGTCATTTAAGAAAGGTGGTAAGGAAAAGCCAGGGAACTATAGACCAGACAGCCTGACATCAGTGGTGCGTAAGTTGTTCGAAGGAATTCCGAGGGACAGGATTTACATGTATTTGGAAAGGCGAGGACTGATCAGGAATAGTCAATATGGCTTTGTGCGTGGGAAATGGCGTCTCACTAACTTGATTAAGTCTTTTGAAGAAGTGACAAAAAAGACTGATGAAGGCAGAGCAGTGGAATTGTCTATAGGGACTTCAGTAAGATGTTCAACAAGGTATCACAATAGTAGACTGGTTAGCAAAGATTGATCACATAGAATCCAAGAAGAACTAGCTATTTGGACACAAAATTGGCTAGAAGGTAGGAGACAGATGGTGGTGGTAGAGGTGGAGGGTTGCTTTTCGGACAGGAAGCCTGTGACCAGTGGTGTGCTGCAGGGATCAATGCTGAGTTTACCGCTTTTTGTCATTTATATAAATGATTTGGATGTGAATATAGGATGTATGGTAAGTAAGTTTGCAGATGGCACCAAAATTGGTGGTGTAATGGACAGCAAAAGGTTACCTCAGAGTACAATGGGACCTTGATCAGATGGTTTGAGGAGTGGCAGATGGAGTTTAATCTAGATAAATGTGAGGTGTCACATTTCGATAGGGCAAATCAGGGCAGGACTTATATACAAAGGTAAGGTCCTGAGGAGTGTTGCCAAACAAAGAGACCTTGGAGACCAAGTTCAGAGTTCCTTGAAAATGGAGTCGCAGGTAGACAGGGTAGTGAAGAAAGCATTTGGTACGCTCGCCATTTTTGGTCAGTGCATTGAGTACAGGAGTTGAGAGGTCATGTTGCAACTGTACAGGACATTGGTTAAGCCACTTTTGGAATACTGCGTTCAATTCTGGTCTCCCTGCTAAAGGAAAGACATTGTGAAACTTTAAAGGGCTTAGAAAAGATTTACAAGGATGTTGCCAGGGTTGGAGGGCATGAGCTACAGGGAGAGGCTGAATAGGCTGGGGCTATTTTCTCTGGAGCATCGGAGGCTGAGGGGTTAACCTATCGAGGTTTATAAAATCATGAAGAGCTTGGATAGGATGAATAGTCAAGGACTTTTCCCTAGGGTAGGGCAGTCAAAAACTAGAGGACATAGGTTTAGGTGAAAGGGGAAAGATTTAAAAGGGACCTAAGGGGCAACATTTTCGTGCAGAGGGTGGTGCATGTATGGAATGAACTGCCAGAGGAAGTGATGGAGGCTGGTCCAATTACAACATTTAAAAGGCATTTGGATGGGTATTCAAAAAGGAAAGATTTAGAGGGATATGGGTCTAATGGTGGCAAATGGGACTAGATTAATTTAGGACATCTGGTCAGCATGGACGAATTTGACCGAAGGGTCCGGTTCCATGCGTAGACCTCTATGACTGCATACGGAGCAGTCCATTGATGCCTGTATGACACAATCAATCCTCAAGACCCCTATCTACTAGCCACATTGTCGTCTATAAATACAACTGTAAAGATATTTGACTACATATCCACAAATGCAACAAAGCTGGCAGATCACAGCTGGTACCTTAGAACAAACCCAAGATTCTCTCCAACTTTCTAACTCCCATTTTTAGTCTCTTAATTTACATTCAATTTAATGGCAATCATTAAAACCTAATGATCTTGAGAACGTCTAATTCTGTGATCTTTGTTTCACTAAGTTATTTGAGTTGTCACCTCTATTTTGACTTTTACATATGTTTGGACTAACATATTTCTTTGTCCTATCCAAGGTTAATTTTAGTGATAATTTTCTGATACAAGAGTCTCTTTCAGAAGCATGATGAATATTTTTGACCTTACTTTCCACTCTTTCACCTCATTCTGCCAGCCCACAAACCTCACTTCTTGGCTAGACTTTCCACTCTTCCAATCATTAGATTCTTATGAACATGAGTCAGCCAAGTACCCACTGAGTAAATCTTCTGTGGATATGTTTACTCTCATGCATGTCACCATCCTTCAGACAACTACCACACAGAGCTTGACCGACTACATTCAGATCCTCAGGACCATCACCATAAAGCACAAACATTTGGAGGTACAGCTGCCTTGCTCTCTTCTATAATCTGCTCAAAGTCCAAGATTTTTAAGTAATTCCAATTAACAGACTGAATCTTAACAGGTTGATTGCTACGTATAATTATCTTCCTATTGTAACCTGTGATATTAGCTGGACTTTTCCATTCCTTAGGACTCCCTACAGCATACTAAATCTCCTGAATTGTATTCTTAGACAGTGCGATAATATACTCTACATATTTTCTTTGAGACTCCAGCCTTGCAAAAATATCATGTGTGCAAAACATTCAAATGCACAGAAAAAATTCAAACTAACTACAGTATCTTCTCCAGTAGAGGACCAGCTTGACAGTAATTTGGGATTTCACACACCCTGAACTGCATCCTCAGAGCTGTGCATAAACCACCCAAGCCACTATGTCAGTTTGTGATAACAGATAAAATTTTATGCACCATTTCATAAATCACAGAATGAAATGTTTTGGGGCATAGGCAGGAATGTGGAATATTCAGAATAGTCATGAATTTACTGATTAGTGGAGCAGGTTTGAGGGATTTGTGGTCTGTTCATTCTTACTTCCAGTTTTTTCAAACCATCTTCACAAACATTTGAAGAGAACTCCCGCAACATCAACTGTAATAGACTCGACATAAAATCCTGGTAGCTGAAAACCCATCTGTCCCACTTGATCATGTTTTCACAAATGGCCAACATACTGGGCAGGACAAAGAAAATGCTGAAGGGCACTTTGACACTGCCCATGAAATGCAGCAGAATTGATACTTACTCTGGGTGGAGCTTACTACCAATCATTCAAAATTATAACAACTTGTCCATTAAGCTGCATTACGCTGAATCACAACACCTTAACAGTGTGAAACAGGCTGGTAGGCTAGAGGAGGTGGATGTTAGTAAGGTAGATGTACTAGGAATTTTGAGGAACTTGAAGATAGATATGTCCCCCAGGCCTGATGGGATTTATCCAAGGATTCTGTGGGAAGCGAGGGAAGAGATCGCAGGGCCTTTCGCAATGATCTTTTCGTCTTCACTGTCCATGGGTGTAGTGCCAGAAGATTGGAGAGTGGCAAATGTCATTCCCTTGTTCAAAAAAGGGAATAGGGATAACCCTGGAAATTACAGGTCAGTTAGTCTTACTTCAGTGGTGGGCAAATTATTGGAAAGGGCTTGGAGAGATAGGATTTACGATCAATTGAATAGGAACAGTTTGATTCGTGATAGTCAGCATGGATTTGTGAAGGTAGATCATGCCTCACAAACCTTATTGAATTCTTTGAAGAGGTGACCAAACACGTGGGTGAAGGTAGAGCAGTGGATGTGGTATACCATGGATTTAAGTAAGGCATTTGATAAGGTACCCCATGGTAGGCTCATGCAGAAAGTAAGGAGGCATGGGATAGGGGGAAATGTGGCAGAATGGATTCAGAATTGGCTGACCCTTAGAAGACAAAGGGTGGTAGTGGACGGAAAATATTCAACATGGTGCTCAGTTACGAGTGGTGTACCACAAGGATCTGTTCTCGGTCCTCTTCTATTTGTGATTTTTGTAAATGATTTGGATAAAGGAGTGGAAGGGTGGATTAGTAAGTTCATAGACGATACAAGGGTGGGTCGAGTTGTGAATAGTGCGGAGGTCTGTTCTAGGTTACAAAGGGACATTGATAGGATGCAGAGCTGGGTTGAGAAGTGGCAGATGGAGTTTAACCCTGAAAAGTGTGAGGTGATTCATTTTGGAAGGACAAACTTGAAAGCAGGATACAGGGTTAACGGAAAGATTCTTGGCAGTGTGGAGGAGCAGAGGGATTTTGGGGTTCATGTCCAAATTCATTGAAAGCTGCCACCCAGGTGGATAGAGTTGTTAAGGAGGCCCATGGCATGTTAGCTTTCATTAATAGAGGGATTGAGTTCAAGAGCCGTGAAGTTATGCTCCAGCTATACAAAACCCTGGTTCGGCCACATCTGGAGTATTGTGTCCAGTTCTGGTTTCCTCATTACAGGAAAGATGTGGAAACATTGGAAAAGGTGCAGAGGAGATTTACCAGGATGTTGCCTGGAATGGAGGGAAGGTCTTACGAGGAAAGGTTGAGAGCACTAGGGCTTTTCTCTTTAGAACGACGAAGGATGAGAGGTTACTTGATAGAGGTGCACAAAATGATCAGAGGTGTAGATAGAGCGGGCAGCCAGAGATTTTTTCCTAGGGTGGAGGTAGCTATTACGAGGGGGCATAGTTTTAAAGCGAAC